AAAAATTACCAATTTGATTTTTTTATTTCTTAATGACATGCCAATAATTTTGTATTTTAATAAATGTTAATAACTCTGTACTACTATTAGAATTGCTTTGAAATTGTTACATTATAAAATATAGATGACCATATATTATTTGCATGCCAATTTTGGTGAAATATGAAAAAACAAGCTTCTTTAGCTTAACATTGTAATGATGTACATTTTTCACTGAATAAATATTATTATTATTATGCACACAACCCAAGAATGGGATTCCCTGCCCGCGACTGTGTTTCCGAGCACTTACAACCCGAGTATTTTTAACTGGTCCAACTGAATAGTCATCTTCTAGGTGAACTCTAGGGCTAGGTAGCGGTCAAGAGTAAGTCTATTTACTTTAAAAAAAAAAACTTACATCTCTTTTAACTCGGACCACCAAAGAGTCGTTACCCGGCAGCCAGTGAGTCACTGCGATTGTGCCATAATGATAAAGTATCCACTGCTGTTCCTCTTAAAGCTACGATGATACATAGTTGTTTATCATCGGCCAGTCAAGATGAACTTTGAGTCTTTATGTCTTTTACTAATTTCCAGATCTTAAGTGATTAGTAATAATTCCTAGAAGTTACATAACCCATTCAACTGACTAACAAGATACGTACCTACCTGATTAGTTGCGTAAATCCGAATTTTACTTAAACGTACAAAGAAATTGTTTTGTTAATATTAGCAAGTTTCGTGCTCGTGTAATCTATATGTTAAGTTATTTTCTAGGCACGCTTATGCAATTGGCGGATGAATAAATAAGTGCGAGTGATCACCATTAAAACCGAACAAAAAGAGATCGACAATCTATTTCCTTTTATTCAAACAGTAATCGTTACTATGGTAATGGTATTCGACCGTAAATTTAGTGTGAAGCCACACCCACTCTTGAATCTATGTACAGCCTAGTAAAGATCATAGCAGCAAAATTTGGAGGCCAGTAAACAAGGTGTAAACCTTTAGGTTTTGTAATTATTTACAGTGTTTCACAAGGTACGGACAACGGCACATCAGACTACGCGTTTTTGTTCAAAAATCGCCTCCAGTGCAACGGAACAAGATACGTCAATATGTAGCTTGATTGCTGGCGTGGCAACAAGAAACTTTCGGCTTGTATCATAGTAAAGAAATTTATTCGTTTTTCAATAGAAATAGTTTATTTTGCAAAGTAAAATTATAACGGTTGCATAGAATTCTTTAATATCTAATGTACAAAGTAAGGTATATGTATTTTTTTATGTTACTAAGTTTAAAAATTACAAAAAAAACTAGAAATCCTTTTTGTAGGTTTTTTCAAAACGCTGTTTTTGATATTACATGATATACGATGGAATTTGTCAATTGCTTATGTTGATAAATATATCATGTCATAGTTTTTTTAATTATGGCATTCTGCCGCAAATATATAGGTTGGTAGAGTTCTAACGCTTCATAAATAGTAGTACCTAATTAGAAACATAAATGCGTTCTGGGGGTCTACTCTCGATCTCCGTCTGACATCTGTCCGAAGCAATTCTGTCAAATAAGTAATATTCGACAAAATGAAAAGACAAGTATCAAGAATGAAGCTTCATTGGCATCACGCGTCTTTTCATTTGGTCAAGTATTGCTTATTTGGCAGTAATTGTTTCGGACGGAGATCGAGATTAGACCCCCAGAAAGGAAACTATTTTTCGAAACAGAACCGCGTGTTTTTACGGACGCGTTATTTCGGGCCCTTTGTAGAAACCATGATCACGGCTGACTGAGAGAGTAAATTCATCAACTAGTTACGTCTATATTAAATGCAAACCACCCTATTTTGACCGACTTAAAAAAGGAGGTTGAGGTTCTCAATTCAAATGTTTTTTTGTACGTAAATACTTGTAGATACGTAGATATTTGTGAACCGATTTCGATACCTAATTCTATTTTGTTGGAGAGGAGGTACGTCAGTAGTGATCTCATTCAAATATCCCACAAATTTTTGAGATGGTATTTTTATAAAAACTTATAATTATTCTATACTTAGAAAGTTATTAATTTAAATACCTTATTTTTATTATAATAAAGAACGTTCTAATTTACGCTACATTATGCAAAATATTTTATTTGAACGATATGAAATTTTACGAAATTAAATTTATAAATGAAAAGGAAATTAGAAGTAAATTAATAGAATAGTTATTTGAGCAAGGCTGCAAAGTTGTTGTTTGATGCCAGTGCTTGTATTGAAACCAGAACAAGCAAAGGAAGTTAAGATCGCTTCGTATGTGGTTCAAAAACAGATTCCTGAGTCTTGCGAGGGTTTCAAGACACGACACGCAAAACAACTTTTCACCTCGCTATAGGGAAATGGTAGATGAAAGAAAAACAGTTGAATTAAAACATTTTTATCTTCTGAAGCGTTCTGAACTTACCTCATCCATTTTTATTCTTGCTTGTACTTTTATTTTGTGTGATTAAATGATTATTGAAATTATTTTAGTTCTTCAAAGAATTAAAATAATTTAATAAACACAATTAGTTATCATTGTCATTTTAATGTCAACAATAATAAGAATAAAATGTACCCACGGATTTATATTACATAAAAATAAGTAATGTACGACAAGTCGCTTATTTGAACGTGTCATTGTTCAATTTTTTTTCATCAAAAGAAAAAATTAGGTGCACAGTCCATCGTCAAGTTCGAATTTCAAAAACCTTTTCCACACTAGCGTGCAAAAACGCTTTTGCGCGTAGATTTCTAAAGAAAAAGAAAGCCTTTCCGAGCTAGTGAGGTGAAAAACATATTAATAAGCAGTATTGCAGTTTTGTGCCTGCTTGGAATTTTTCATCAGAGGAAATACTTTGTTTGACAAAACGAATTTACGTGATTTAGATCCGAAAAACTATTTTCATGTCCAATATGTAACAGTCGCCTAAGAACTATATAAAATGTGTTGTTTTTTTCAGATAAATGCAATTTTAGTTACTTATTCCCAGCGGTAGTTTGTTTTAATAAACCCCTCAACGCACCAGAGCGTGACGATCGTGGTGGCCAGTGACGACATTATAATATCGTAGTCATAACCTGTGACTTACTAAGTCACCTGTGACTTACTAAGTTTCCTGTGACTTACTAAGTCACCTGTGACTTAGTAAGTCACAGGTTATGACTTACTAAGTCACAGGTTATACAATTTTGTAAACAAGGCCAAAGCAAATGTACTTACAGCTTATTAATTTATTAAAAAAACATGTATGTATCCAAACAAAACAAAAGTGAAGAAAAGGCGCCAAAAACAATTACATTTAAATTTACAATTTAAGTCAATTTAAGTATAAAACTAAAACTTAAAGAGACTATGAAATATAACATACAAAAAGATTTGTAGTACCTATGTAACTCCGAGGCACTTTAGAGTACGTATAAACCAAAACCAGTTTAGAAAATTAAGTTCAATATTTATCTTAGGCGGGAATCGAAGCCAGACCAAGTGCTCCATTGTCTGAGTTTACCGAAGCAATTTTTTGTCCATGTAAAAAGCGCTAACAAAATAATAAAAAAAAATCACTACAAATCAATCGTCATCATAAAACGCCTACAAAATAATTTAAGAAGCTACAAATCACAGAAAGGACTCTAATGTTATGTATGTACAAAACAAGCAATCAAAGACAAATTCAAGCTCTTTGGCACGTATAGTTTAACGGTTACCAACTCGAAACTCGAGGGCTTGTTCAATAAGTCCTTTGAAAATATTACCCTTTCAAGATTATTCAGTCTAATTACAGCGTACATAATAGAACCTATTTAAACAATGTACGACGTTTTAGATTCATCGCTTCATCACCTAGGTGAAATATAACTTTGATAAGCAGGCATTCGAAAATTTGGGGGTTTACGCCGTTATTCTTTTCGGATGTAAAAATACCTTTTTTTAAAAAAAATTCGAAATGAATATTTTTATGGAATTTACATAATATTTTATTAACTGGTATTTAATTTATTATTTAATATTTTGTTATAAATTTAATATTAATTACAATACAATAAAAAAAATCTTAAATTTTCATAACGTCTCAACTCTGGATCTTCAAACTATCTCCGTGAACGCCTTTCTGCTGTCATGTTGGCTAAATTGAAACAGTTGGCAGCATTGCTTTGGTGTTGTAAGCTAAAAAAATCACCCGAAATTAACTCAAAATGAACTCGGCGAACTCGATACAGCGCATAATATAGTATAAATTAATAAATTACACCGAAATAAAAACATAATAATAATTAAGTACTTCCACCTATATTTTTTTGGTATCAAATGATAGCATTGTACACTGCACTCTGCAATTATTGTCAATTGCACAGTGTTAAGATTCACTTACGAAAATTTACAGAAATAATAAATCACCATTAAGGCAAATTTTTATATCAAAATATAACAAAGCTTAGGCTAGTTATTTTAAGGAAATAAAAGCTTCATATTTCATTTTTTTATGAGAACAATCCATATAATGCCAGCTACTTTTGTAATGGTCAGTTTTATCTGGTATTCCTGTCAAATTACTGATTATTCAATAATCAATACTATAATGCGTTCCAAAAAGTACACAATGTAAAAATGGTTGACACGCTTAAATTAGAACTTTGTGACCCTGTTGGACACAACAAAATACACAGATAAATACACATTCTACAAAAAAAAATAAAAACTAAAATTTTGTAACGGCGTAGAGTCAAGAGAACATCAAGCTAGACACTTTGGACCGTCCTCGCCATCGTAAGCGGACTAGAGTAAGTTTAAATGTTAATTGTCAGGCTTGAGACAAACTCCTGACCGTCTCTTTACTTATCCTATACCTCACTATTCCTAATAGATCGCATTGTTAAAGCAGCAGCTCTCCCAACTTTATTACCCCACATCCAAAATTGAGGAAATATTTTCTTTTATTGGCAACATTTTAAAAAGAAAGTGAAGTGAAAGAAATGAATTTACGAGAATAGGTCGCATAGATTTTTGGTTGATTTCCTTTTCACTTTGCTTTCATATTCTCGCTAAGATCTAATAAACTAAAGTTCTTTTGTGCTTCTGGTCATATTTTGATTCAACGGCCCAGGTGTCGTGACACCGAGCGCAGGATAAGTACGAGAGTGAACAGCATCTTATTGATTTTCTTTCCCTTGCATATGCTTCGAGTCAACGCGAAGTGGTGTTAGTACAGCTAGCGGAGAACTTATGATCTAATTGGAATATATCCTCATTTATGTAATAATTTACATTTAGTGAGACATTTCACCTAATTTGGTGTAAACAGGAGTCAGCGAAAATGATGGCAAACTCACTCGACACCATGAACGCTAATCAACCCACGCAAAATGGTAGCAAACTTCAGCCGTGTAACAATGAGTCCAAGACGAATCTCATAGTGAACTACCTGCCACAAACCATGACTCAGGAGGAGATAAGATCACTGTTTTCAAGTGTTGGTGAAGTAGAAAGTTGCAAGCTCATTAGAGACAAAGTGACCATATTCCCTGATCATATTCTCAATGGGCAGAGTCTTGGTTACGCGTTCGTCAATTACCATAAAGCAGAAGACGCTGAGAAGGCAGTGAACACACTGAACGGTTTACGATTACAGAACAAGATTATCAAAGTTTCCTATGCTCGACCAAGTTCTGATGCCATTAAAGGAGCTAATTTGTATGTGTCTGGATTGCCTAAACATATGACGCAGCACGAGTTGGAGAAACTGTTCAGTCCTTTCGGTAACATCATTAGTTCGCGCATATTACATGAAAATGTTAACGTGGGACATTTGCTGCAAGGCGGAGGGGATGATCAGTCAATGCAAGGGCCATCAAGAGGTGTTGCTTTTATCCGATATGACCAGAGAATCGAGGCTGAATCAGCAATACGTGAACTCAACGGCACCATACCTCCTGGGGGTACACAACCAATCACAGTGAAATGTGCAAACAATCCAAGTAATCAGAACAAGGCACTGGCTCCACTCGCTGCTTATTTGGCTCCAGCAGCAGCACGCCGCTTCGTAGGCCCTGCTGGTAAGGCTCTACTTGCTATTAATAAGGGCCTCCAGAGATTCTCTCCTCTGGCAGATCCCATCATCCAAGGTAATGCTCTAGGTGGCTCTGGTTGGTGTATTTTTGTGTACAACATTGGAGCTGATACGGAAGAAAGTATTCTTTGGCAGCTGTTTGGTCCCTTTGGTGCAGTCCAAAGTGTCAAAATTATTAGAGATCCTACAACCAACAAGTGCAAAGGATATGGCTTTGTCACAATGACCAACTATGATGAAGCCGTGGTCGCCATCCAGTCTTTGAACGGCTATTCGCTCAACGGCCAAGTGCTGCAGGTCAGCTTCAAAACGAACAAAAGTAAATCTTAAGTATCACAAAGTCTAGTCAATAAATTGTAGCTAATGCAATCAACTGTCATGGTTTAGCATCAAGATTTTTTAGTACTGATTAGCGGATTGCCATGTGATGCAAATCATGACATGATGTCAATAGAAAGCAGTGTGAGAAGTACAAACCTCCAAAAAAACCGCATACTGTAGTTACACAGAAAAAATATTTTTACTTTTGTTATGACTGGCAGCTTCAATTAAACTGTTTAATTATATATGAAATAATAATTAAAAGTAAAAGCAAGGTGTTTAGGAGCAAAATTACTATTTTACAGTATTTACAAATCTTAAAAAAAACTGGCCAATAATTTGTTTCATCTATGTTTACAACATGGCGCTATGTGTATCATTTTGAAACAATTTTTACTAACCTAAATTTGTGTTGTTTGGTGTTTGTAAATACTCAGAAATAAGCAATAAGTAAATACCTTGCTTATTTTTTGTTTCATGGACTTATTTCATTTAAAAAATTATCAAATAAATATGTTACTGAGGTTTACTTAGTCAAACATCGTATCTATAGTCCAGACTATAAAGCCATTATAGAAAATGGTACTGTATTATGTGACAGTATTGTCATCATTGTCCATAGATATGGCTAAAGTACAGAAATATTTATTTAAAGTTTATATAGCTCCAGCAAAAAATATATTATGAAAAGGTAACAGTGCAATATATAACTTTTTACTTTAAGTAAAAATAAAAAGTATAGAAAGAGATATACAACATTTTGTTTATGACAAACAGTGCAATTTTATTAATACACATAAAAATTTGTTATAGTTTATTTGAAATGCAGAAAATATGTATTTACAGAATTATTAAAACCAAAGAAACAGTTTATAAAATTATGACTGATTACGGACACTTCTTTGAAAGTAGTGAATGTTAATAATAGTACTACTGCTTCCATTTCATAAGTTTACATAAAACAATAAAAATCGACAGTTCTGACATGATATTGTAAAGAACTACCAGCAATATTTTCAAGTTTTCTGAAGAAAATAAGAAATTTGGTATAAGTCCCTTTTCCCGTATTATTAAAAAAATACATTGCCTGATAAGAGTATCTTATGAACGGACTCGGAGCTCGATCGATGCACAAATTCATTAAAAATATGGTGAATGTTAAAAAATCATCATGTGTTTACATGATATTGTCAACATTTTGTACTTTTTACTCGCATAGTAAGTTTAACTTGTACCTTACAATCATCAATTCCATTTAATTTGTTCTTTGGAATTTAAGCTCTTTCCCACAGTACTCAAGTTGGTTATTATTATAACAAATTGACGAAGCTTTTGCTGAAATAAATGTTGTTATTTTGGGAATTACTTCTAACGTGGTCTCATATGAAAAATGTACAATTAAGGCTTTAGATTTTTTCTTCATACATAAAGCTTTACAAATCGATTTTAATCATCATCAGTCATTTCTTGTGGCGTGTTCACTGCATAAACTTGATTATTACGACTTTCACTAATGACGTTTGTTAAAAGAAAAATACCACCTTGTAATAAATCTCAATCAAAATTATGAAGTTGAAGGACCATGACATAATAATAACTAAAATTAGCTTATCGATCAGCATTTGAGCTAAATTTTGTATTGACTAAATACTTACATTTTGTATCATATTTGTGGGCACATTAATTTTTATTGGAAGTCAAGTAATGTGTAATGTATACTAGATTTCCTCATTGTTTTAGTCGTCTCGGTAGTATTTTGTGCATGTTTTATTTGATTATAATGCAGGTATGTCGTAATAGCTGAGATAGTGTAAGATGTAACGCTATCTATATTCGTTAAACTTGCACAAAATGAGACGTAGCTGACTTTCACGGCATGATATTGTCTCTCTATTTTGATTATATAATCATCTCTATTTATTATTACATTTAAGTAATTTATATTACAATTATATAAACATAATTTATTGTCATAATCGTAATAGAAGTATAGATTTCATTTCGATGTTATAATTAATATATTGAATATTAGTGTAAGTTCAAAATTAGTTCAGTAAATTTACTCATTCATAAACATTATACCTATCGCATTATTTGTATTGTTCCATATAATATTTGTATCGAGTAGTTTCAGGAACTACTATATAATAGTTAAATTATTCATAGATAACATAAATGCATATCATATTATTGAAGAATTCTACAGAGGTGAGAAATTCTCAGAAATAGACGGGCTTGTATAATGCATTTTGAAATAAATATTTTTGTTTAAATGTCTTTAATACTGCTAAGGATAAATGTTTCATTAAGATTATTATTTATTTAAAGTACTTATCTACACGGAACTAGTCAGTTATAATTTTGCGCAACATAAATTTTTAGGTGTAACTAATTATTTAAGTATTTAAAAACTGTGTTCTCTAATTTAAATGTAGTTTAGGGATTTTGAGTTTAAATTATGTTGGTGTGGTGTTTGGTTAACATAAGTATAGTGCACCTTTATGAAGCACACATTGCATTACAATATACAAAATGGTGTGTATGAAAACTAGTCACAGGTAAAAAAAATACCTCGATATAAAATATGCTACACTGTAGACATGTCCTGATTCTTATTCCCATTTCGATAACGTGTTTTTTTAGCAAACTGAGATTTGACTCTTCAATACTCTTATCCTCATTTTGGACCTTGCATTGAAAGCTAAAAGGCAGTATATTTTCTGGTCATCGCTCTTTAGATCTGTAGGTGTTTGTAATGCGCCTCTAAGATTTGGGACATTTATTTATACCAGTTAATCTATAGTTTGTGTTGTGTCGTCCCTGATTTAAAATGCTTTTGCCACCGAAAGTAATAATTTGGTACCAATACACACCTGTCCCGTTTATGTATTATTTTGTTTTGCATTAGTATTTTGTGTTCTAAGATGTGGTATTTTATTTGTGTTTAGAATAGTTTCAGTTAATTTAACTAACATTTTGATTTTTTTTTAGTGTTTACTTATTTATCTTAACCACATTTAACAATTTGGTTTAATTTTTTTTCTCGTTTGTTTTTACTGGGCAGGTTTGGGTATTGTAAGGTTTTTGGCCTAGGATGTAGCTAGTGTTATTAAGACAGAGTACAAATCGCTGTTAATGTATGAAGAATCTTTGGCTTACTTACATTAATTTTGAAATGTCAACGAATGTAATCTGATGTAGGGAATATTGATATAGACATTAAATATTGACATTAGCAATAATATGTAAAATACTCTTTTATTTTCACACCCTTACCCCTTTTTAAAAATAAACATCCTTTCCTGAAATGAAGTAAGTTAACCTTGATATCGTCATATTACTATTATTATAAATACTTACTACTTTTCATGATACTCTGCTAATAACTGGGTAGTTGTACCTACACCTATTATTATTACGTTAGGGTATAGATTTGCTGTGAACAAAGGCCTTTGAAGATTTTGTGCTTATAACCTGCTAAGTAACACGAATGACACGCCTTCACGGATGATATCGATCGATCCAGTTTTGCAGCTTTAATAGGAGCAGACTCCAAAATGCGTAGTTCTCATTGTTACGTCTTGTCCCTCTATACAAGCTTTTAGTAGGTTTATAAAACGTAGTAATAACTTAAATTTTATTAAGTCTGGACTATAAATTTGTGCCCTCTGAATATGAAAATGCTTACAACTGCGTGATTATTCTAAGCCTACAACAATAAATAAATTGAGAATCTTTCATATTATGTACCCAGGCTATCCAGGCATTCTATTGCAATATTTTAGATTGATTAAGATACATACAGATTTAATTATGGGACGGTGAGTAAGACAGTACATACAGGGTTTTAAATTTGAGATATTTATACATTTTTAATTTTTTTTATATGTATTTTTCGAAGCCTTACGTTTGGTCTCAATGCAGATCATAACGCCACATTAAAAACGGCTATGATATAGAACTATTTTAGATCATAGCATAGAAGTTAAATGAAAATGCAAAAATGAAAAGAAAATATTACCACCGAATATAAGTCGTATACGAATTCAGATTCAGATATTGTATTATTGGGTAATTTTCCAAAAAATTTCAAATACCTACCTACTTAGTGGAAATTTTTCCTGAAAAATTCTGAACAATTGGAAATGGAAAAATATAATTCGAAATGTTTTTCGTTTAGAAATATGTTTTGAGTTTAGCATGAAATATAAAATAAAATTGTTTAATAGTTTTTTTTTTATAAGATTTTATAGAAAAACTACATGAAAAGGAGATGTCAAATGATTGGACAACTGCGAAAAACACCTCTGTTTAAAGGTGTGTATTGGTTCCATCCATAGAGCTATAGTACGTCCATGGTTCCATCGTTTTCGTTCAGTAACTTCAACATTTGACAGGTGTCAACGTTAAATGTGGAAAAATATTTATTTTCTGAAAATTACGATTTGTTCAAAATGGAAATTTTTCCATTGAAGCATCTTTTATCTCTGTCTTTCTTAAACGAAATCAACTAGTGCTTTCTTACTCACTCATTGGTGTCAGTGTCATCATGTTATAAAAATCGTTTGGTTGATTATTCAGCGGTGACAGCTTTCCAGTCGATAGAAAATTTCGAAATTACCATTGGTATTTTTTCAGTTTATTGGGGGTATCATCAGTAGCATCGATGGAGCTATAACACACGTAAATTAAAAGGTCTTGGAGGGCTTTAGAGAGGTTTAAAATCTTTACGGTAAAAAATTGTATTTGAAACTGTGACCAATATGGAATCGTTGTCAAAACAAGAATTAATTTCCACTATAACTAAGCAAGCTGACCAAATAAAACGATACGAGGGCCGTCTCAGAGGTGAGTGCATAAGAATTGTGTTCCGAAACCAGAAAAACAAAATAATCCTTGATTTTCATAACTATGTGCCATGATGACCTTTCACTGTTTCTTTCTTTTTTTTTTACAAGAATTCCAGTAATCTAATTGTCTGTACCTTATTAACGCTATACTTGCATTCTTTATGTTAAACACATTTTGTTTAATGTTTTTCAGATGTGGTTGCTGCTTATAAAGGTTTGGCAAAAGAAAAGGAGGCATTGGAGATCAGTTTGAAGGCTTTGAACAAGACAGAGTTGCCAGCTGAGGGACGTAGTGAGTACTTAAGTTCTGATGGTGCAATTTATAAAAGAATGATGGCCAAATTTCAATGAAACTTGCGTGTAAGGCTTGATTGAGTGTTGAAGTAATTACAATTGGTGTTTAGGATTCTATATATAAAGATTATAATAATAATGCATACATTCAACATAGTCCCGCACTAGGGAAACCCTGTGTCGTGGGTGCCATGAACACACATATAGACACAAACTACACCCTAACTCACGAGAGAAATAAACACCATACAAACATTTATCTCGGACTGGGAATCGAACCTGGGACCTCTGCTTGGCATGTTAACCGTTCAAACACGGAGGCAGTCAATTATATTTTTAGTGGATTCTTTTATAATGCCTTTTGCAATATATGTTTGGTCCATGAATCATGAGCTGTTGTTTTGTTGTGATGTATTTGGTGTGATAAGCTCGCCCACTCTGCATTAGACTGCCTTCATCTTTCCAACTTCTCCTTCCTTTAGGCCCACGTGTGGTGCCTCCTCAATCGTCTTTTATTTTTAAAGAAACATTCTATCAACATGAATTTTTCTATGATCGCTTCTTATAAATGATATGCGAGGGAGACAAATGGCTCATATTGACCCAAACTGGGAAACCATCAGAAATGACATGAGTACAGGTTCTTAAATTAAGGATTTACACTTGTTTTAATTACCTCTATTTCAATTCTGCAACGGCAACTTTGATACACACATCTATTGTCACAGGATTGTATTGACGGCAGCAAAAAGTAACCAGTTATCAACAAATTCACGATTTTACAATACAGTGTTTTTCATCATCAAGTAAAAACTTGAAAGAATAATATATGTATATTCTAAATATCCTTCCAGTATTAGCTTTTTGTATTGCCTCATTGCTCAAAATTGTAGCTGGTTCGAATTAGCTCAGATGGAGTGTAATGTAAAATGCAGATAACTGGTTACTCTTTGCAGCCATCGATATTATGTATAAATAATAAGCTTTCTAAATATGTACTAATTCAGGTTCATTTCAATGATAAGGAGCAAACTGAGACATCCAACTCAATAATTCTAATGCTGTCTAATACTTAAAATCCTAGATTAACATCTACAGCACTAAACAGTGCAGATGTTGTGGCATGAGGCTTGAAAAGATTTCTAATTATGGTTAGCGCCTTCACAGGATATTTTTAATAGTATAAAATTTCAGAATATCTTTCATTACTACTTAACAAAAAATTACACATTTGTAAGGCAGATTCCCCTGAGAAGAATTTGTAAGAAACTCTGGGAATTGCACTTTGTAAATAGACATTGTCCACATTTCATATTTAAAATATTTATTTACAAATATGGTTAGAAACAACTTAAAAATGCTAACAAATTACTTCTGTGGAATTTGTGACGTCCAAGTGTCACAGACCATTCTACATTTACTATTGGCACATAGTTCTGGCCCACTGTTTATAACTGAGAGAAGGCAGTATCTGCAGTTAATTGCCTATATGACTATTCCTTGTATATTTCAGGTGATTCTGATTCAGTGGCTGCCCTAACAGTGTCCCTTTCTACTTTGGCTGCAGAAAAAAGTCGAATGGAAGAGGCTTTTCAGGCTGACAAGAAAGTTACAAGGGAAAAGGTATGTATCTTAAATACCATTAAAATTTTTAGATACAACTTCATAACCTGTAATATTCTAATAACATATCTAATGTGTAATATATACATATAAACAGCCTTGTTTCTGTAAGTCTTAACGAACAACTAGTCACTCCAGGTCCTCCGAGAAATCCACTAGCCTCTAATGATGCATCATCTTTTTTTTTTAATAGTAACTTTCATTATACCTCTAATTAATATTTGTCTGCGGCTAACAAACTATAACATCACTCCATGCCAAAACATATTTTTCACTCGAAGAACAATTTGACCTAGTCAGTGATCTGTGCTCAGTGAACTCTTTGAAATACACACAGGATAGAGATTAAAACTCTTTAGTTATACTGTGCTGGGTGTCCGAGGTAGTGCCCAGGAGTCTCAATTACTACCAGAACACTATGAAATCTTGTAGTTTTTATATATATTTATTTTATATATATTTTATAATTTAAACTTTACCCTGTTAGTTCAATAATATCGTTGAAAGTTCTATGTTACTACTTTTCGATTTTATATTGAAATTTCAATCAATCTGCTGCCATCTAGCGGTCAATAGCTGGACGACGACGAATACGAGATGCTTGCTTAGTTCTCTAAAAAAGTACCGACCATATCGCAGTGGTATAAAGTTTATTTTCGTTTCTTTTAACGAGATTATAACGATTAACAGAAAATTGAAAATTTATTAAAATTGAATAAAATAAGACGTGACGACGATATGAAACTCCATCATAGATAATATTACAATTGCAACTAATGTTTCTGCACTTCGTAGTAGCAAAATAAGGCAATTTTCTATGATTTTCGAGGTTTTGTGCGAGATGATTGACACAATCAAAACGTACAAACGTACAAAAAATTTTACCTTATTGAGACTATTGGATTGTCAAATGCAATAAAAACAAAACTTGTGTGCAGTTTATAGTCATTATGTGTATTTTTTTAGTATGAGAACTTATTATCAGCAATGAGAGAAGAAACAAAGACTCTAGTACAACAACACCTTGCCGAGGTGAACAACTTGAAAGCTAAGATTTCCTATGAGATCCAAGAAAGGGAGAAAGAGAGGGCTGATCATGCTGCTATGATGAAGTAAGTATACATGAAAGTGCCTGGTATAACTTTAGATTATACTGAATTGTTTTTACTAAAACCATGAACTAATGATTAAAGAGGACTGTTAATCTCCATACCACAGATTGTAACTCTGAAGAAGGTCTAAATCCTGTTTTAAAACTAGATGGCGTTGCTTGATAGCCTGGAAGTATAGTCTGTCTTTTTTGAAGATGGAGTAAATGACATTTGCAGGGTTGCCAGTTTTCACAAAAATAAAATAAAATTAAGTAGTCATGTTGTTGTTGTCGACAGTTTTATCGATGTTTTATTGATGATTTATGTGTGTGTGCGTTATTTATTTAATGTTATCAGTCATTTTTTGTTTCCGCACAAGATACAACACTGCTTTGTCTCAAAATAGAGTATCAAAAAGTTGTACAGTTTACAGTATATTTAAATCTTTAATCTAAAACGTCGTCGACACCACAGCGTCTATTATAAAGTGATTTCACTCATTTAGTTCTACAATAAACGTAAAGGCGTAATAATCTCTTTGGCTCGTTCGAATCCCATTAAGCTGGTCACCTGTTCTACCATTCTTCCTATTTCACTCTTACTTGCTAATTGTGACGTGATCAACTGATGGCGTATCACTAAGTAATTTAGAGTCTACTCCTTGTATAAGGAGACATAAAGTGTGTGATAGTAAGAGCTCTGATAAAGTACGGTATAATATGTCTCCCATGATTTGACTGTTATAACAAATTAAAGGGACAAACCCTCGTTTTAACTGACTACGCAACCATTTTGCAAATTTCTATAGGTCAAGAAATTCACTACATAAACAATTTCGATACCTCCAATGAACACTGTGCCAATTTTACTTTTTGTTCATTTTCTGTTATTTTTGTAAAGAGCTAAGTATATTTATTTACTAATATTATGCTCCCTGAGTTTTGTGACAAAAAAGAAAGAAACAAAAAACAAATATCAAAAAAAAAGAAAGAAACAATTTTGTGAAAAAAAAAAGTCGCTCGCCAGGGTTGGTAGCTGCAAAGGTATCTAACTGGGTGATAAAACTTTCATAGATTTCTCATAGATGGCGATACCACCAAAAAGTCGTTGAAAAACCAAATACAAAGACACGACAACAAGCACATAGAAAAATTCGTGAGGTCCGCTGGTTCGTTCCGTGGCTTAGTTGGTATAGCGTCTGTCACGGTATGCTAGAAGACGTCGATTCGAATCCGGCCGGATCGAATGATTTTTTTCTGAGTGTTCGCACAGAACAGGTCCAAAAATGAAGTTGGAATAGTGTTTATTGGATGTATCGATTTGAAAAACATATTTCAGGGAACTTCACGTCAAACTGAATGCAGAACGAAAAACCAAAGAGAAGTTGGAAGACAAAGTGTGCCACACTTCCGAAGCACAAGCATCGCAAGCGGAGCTAGAGAAGCGAGTGAGAGATCTCAGCAGTTCATTAGAAGCAGCACAAAGGAAGTTGCAGAGAGCCGAAGCACGTACAGTTGAAACTCCTGCTATGTTGGTGCGATTGCAACAGAAATTGACTTTGGTTGAACAGTCACATTCTGTTGCTATAAGAGAGGTTAGTATTGCTTGTAGATTTTAAGCACCTATTTGGTTTCAAAGCAGAAGTCCTACGAAGGTGTTTCAAAATGTAAGTATTCGAATTTAGAGACGTTGACAATCATTGTATGTTGCTTTTTTGGCAGTACAGTGTAACTATTAAGTAATCTGTGGTACAGTGTCAAAATTTTCTAAATAAATTATTTATGAGAAAAAATATTACACGCATTGAATTTTTTCGTTCATTGGAAAATACATGCGTACAATATGTAGTAGCAGTAGACTTCCTTGTGAAAGAGTTTGTCCAGGGAAGTACTGCCATCTTACCTACTTCTACCGTCAAGTGAGAGCATTTAATAACTGTAAATGAACCAATAAAAAAAAAACTGTTCCGGTTTTGAAGGGTGCTGATAAAATTACAGGCACTAGTCAACTTATGTCTCAGGGTGACGTGCACGGTGGTACTGCCCCTCAGATCTTTGCGGTTGAAAGCTCTGAGTGGCACTGGTACTGCTATGAACAGGCGTGTCGTTTACCATCAGGCGCACGACTTAGTTCGTCCCGTCACTTCATATCATAAAAAGCCTTTGTAAAACATTCTTAATTTGATCTGAAAATGTTCTTCAGGGCAATCCTCATCCAACGTTGCCTTCTACATTGGCGCTATATATCTCTTTTGTTCACCTTCTGTTTTGGAAAATATTGGGTCTATAATGGTTGTAATGGACAAAATTTTAGGAGCAAATAAAAGCGAAACGCGCAGAAGAAGCAGCCCGCAAACTCTGCGCTAGACAAGAAGAAAGAGTAGCGTTATTAGAAGGAAAGCTAGCAGAACTGTCCCAGACGATAGGAGAATACGATTTGAGAAGACGACGAGATCAGCAGCTCATACAACAGTTAAAAGAATCATTGAATGGACGGCTCTTGGAGAAAATTGCTTCGAATACAAGCGGTATGTGACTATTACCATGGACTAATAATTAATCGCGATAAAAACAGCGTAGTCGGGTATTTAGTACCTACTTGCACACCAGATGTCGCGACGAGTATCAAATAGCTATTTTTAGAATTAATTTGTTTTGCATTGACGTAACTACAATTTATCAATATTCAACTGCCTCAGTGGCCGAACGGTTCGCATGCTGGACTGCCAGACGCACAGGTCCCGGGTTCGAATCCCGGGCCGGAACAAATATTTGTATGGCCTACATTTATTTCTCTCGTGAATTTGGGTTGTCTATGTGTGTGTCCATGGCACGCGTTATACAAGGTTTCTTTAGTGCGGGGCTACGAGTGTGTGCGCGTTTTTATTATTATTATTATCAAAGCTACCCTAATTTCTAGTGATAATAAACAAATCAACTAGATGGCGCTTATTTAACTGATTATTTTACTTGATTATTATTATTGCGGCTATTCTTTTATTTTGTTTAGGATTAGCGCCATCTACCCATATTAGCAAGCGGTAATTTATAAATTATTTTGTAATACACTTGCCGTGTATTGATGTGCATGTTTCTCAAAGTTCATGAAATAATTTTTAATAATTTTTTTCTAAGTGATCGATCTTTGTATTAATAATTACATCAATATATTTATATGCCAATGTTTGGCCAGGCGACGTTGAACTATACTTATTTTGTTGTAGTCCACTTTTATATGACCTATGTTTCCACAAATGAATGAGTTGTCTATATGTCGGAGCCAGTTTATGTTATATGGTTTTTGTGATACATACACAAGAGGAATTTTAATAGTCGAATGTCAACTCTTATTTCCTCTCGTTTGTATACTATGTTCTAATATACATAATATAACAAGAAGTGTAACAATTTCTGCAGTATTACGTACAGCTTTGTCCCCTGTACTTACCACAAGTTGTTTCCAATGTCTTAGATCATTGGTATAATCCACAGAACAATAAATACAGTAGAAGTGGTTAGTTAACGTCTGACGCGTGCCAACTAGAGGTCTCGAAAGACCTATCTGAGCTCAGTCGGCCATTTTCGCTTTGTATGGTATGGTGTGTCATCATCATCATCATGTCAAGGAAAGACCTTCAAAAATGTCTTATTGTGCTGTTTTGGAGAACTAAATTAATAATACCAATTCGTCGTCGTTCAGCGATAAACCGCTAGATGGCAGCACATTGATTGAAATTTCAATGTAATATCAAAACGTTATTTGTATTATAGGTACAGACGGTATTGAACTTTTAACGATATGCTAACAGGGTAAAGTTTAAATTATATTGACAGCCAGAATTGTGTGAGTTTTGACGGCATCGGTTCTGATAGTAATTGAGGCATAAGGCGCTTCCATTGGTTTTTTTTCTTTCGTCGTATAATCGGTGGTACCATCGTACGCTACGCATTTCAGCTCTACGTAGCTATATTAATTTATAGTAAAATTATTTAACGCAAATTTTCAGATGAACCGACAGTGCAACAGAAAAGCGAAACTGACAACGAGAAATTAGCGGACAGCGAGTACTTGCAGACTTTAATTGACAAAATACACATACTTAAAAAGGAATTGATCGCCGAAAACGACAAACTTGGCAATCCAATTGACATAACTACGATTTTTAAAGTAGAAGGTAAGATAAGTTATCATTTGAAGAGTGTATTTCACGATTAAAATAAGTTATCCTGTAAAGACAACCATAAAGACACCTTTATGCAGAGGAGTTTTGTTTATAATATCAAGTATCCTGATGATAAGCTTGCCCATAACAGTTGGAGTGCCACTCAGAGCTTTAAATCGCAAAAATTTGAGTGGCACTGCCACTGCGCCCGTTACCCTGACACGTAAGTTTACAAGTACCCTTACCCTTCGAAACCGGAAGACGGTAATGCTCACATTACTACAACTGGCGGCAGAAATAGGTAAGGTAGCAGTACCTAAAGTTATTAATAATTGGTTTACTGAAATATGCTGTCCACGTTATGGTATGGTGTAACGGGCTGTTGTTCGCAACTCGACGTGTGACGTATTTTGCGTTTGGTGGGTGCAGGGTCCTACCCGGCCACCCAAGCTCCTTCAAAAATCTAAGCACCTATTTGGGTTTTTCGAAGACTTCGAGGAGCGACCTTGGCACTCCCAACGTATTTTGCCCTGTAGTTGGCCACGCCGGAGCATTGTACGAGGTGCGCGGGGGTTTCCTCCCCCTCCACGCATGTGGTACCTAGATTGAAAAGGTGTTTATTATACGGATCACGACCAGTTAGAGCGGCAGTTAGAACGCGCAGCTCTTTCTTTTTGAGGTTGAGAAATTTACGTGATAGACCAGCGTTAAACATCAACAATCATTTTTTCCATTGGTAAAATGTTTACACTTGAAAACGTCTTTTTTTTAAGCTACTGCTCGTCCACTGTGCAGACCTCCCTGAGAAGAACGAGAAAGAAACTCTAGGGATTGCTCTTTTCAAATAAACTTAAATGCTATGGAATAAATACACTTTGAATCATAATTGTGTGGAACCTAGACTCTTGTTGTCTTTCCATACTTCTTTATCTAACACATACTCTTCTATTTTAACCGACTTCAAAAAAAGGAGGAGGTTCTCAATTCGACTGTATGTTTTTTTTTGTATGTATGTATGTTACGCGATAACTCCGTTATTTCTGAACCGATTTTCATGCTTCTTTTTTTTGTTGGAAAAAGGATACGTCCATAGTGGTCCCATCGGCTGCTCACGCATGAAGATTCTTTTTCATAAATAGCGCCTAAATTTTATTATCAGGAGCAATTATTTTAATGGTTGATTTTGCTATTCTCCAATTTAAGGCGTTTTTCTCTCAATATACTTTGAGTAGTGAGAACCGATTTTTATTATCTCCTGTGTCAAGTCCCGTATTGTGCAATTTCCGGTAATCGATTTCAATAAAGTTGTACATATAATTAATGTAATTCCACGTACTTTTGAGGTCGGTTTTTATAGTACTCTGTACTGAGATTATATAATGTGACTTAGGAAATGATAATCTTAATATATTCTCCAGAATCTTAGTGTAAAAACGTATACAGTTTTCCCCATTAAACAATCGTTTACTTTAGTTAAACGAAATCGTGGTACTATGAGTTTAGATTTAGTTCTAAGGTTAATATTATGGATATCTTCTTTCTTGATGAGTGCTTACCTAGCCTTTCTACAAACCCTATGGGTTGTCCAGGTGTTATTATGAATAGTTTTTGTACCTTTGTGTATAGTTGCTCTTGACCATTGGTAGGCTGACCGCAGTAATTAACCTGTCTTATGCAAAAATACTATCTGATTTTATACTTTTAACAATTATTTCGCCATTGTCTTTTAATGCCTGAGAAGCTTACCTAAGTTTAAGCCTCGATACATGTATTTGAGAGGTGGTGTGGTGGTGGTTGAGTAGTGAAAGAACGGTTGCAGTGGAACTCCTTGTATAAGAGTTCGTCCTTGAGACTACTGACACTATACCTTTTTTTGCCGCCACACAGTAATGTGAGCATTGCTTGTTTGATTTTGCAAAAAATCAATCATCAGATTGAAATCTTCTGCAAAAACACTAGAGGTAAAATACTAGTAGGTAGAGATTATGGATTCTCATCAGGTGCGTCCCTGACATGTAAACAGACATCATCATCATCATCATTATCATGTCAGATGGAAGACGTCCACTGCTGAACATAGACCTCTCCCAAAGATTTCCAGACCAGCCGACCGGACGCGAAGGCGTTCAGTGGGACGGCCCCCTACTAGATGGATGGATGGTCTGGTAAACAGACAGGAGGAAAAAATTATTTTGTAAGTTTCTTTTACAGGTTATAGCAATGTACACACAAAATGTTTAGAGGATTATGAGAATTTAAAGGCCGAATTTGAAAATTACAAACTTCAAAACGAGAACCCAAGGGATATAAGGAACGAGCTTCAAAGTGAAATTACAGATTTGAAGAACGAAATAGGTATTTTGAAGGAGAAAGTCGATACGTATAGAATGTTGTTGGAAGAGGAGAAACAGGACAAGGCTGACAGCTTAAAACTTTGTGAAGATGTAAGCATTTAGTTTCGAATTTTTCTGTTGGCGAAATATATTCTTTGTAACCTATAGTGTGTCTTTTTTGAAGATGGAATAAAATGACATTTCATTCCATCCACTTTGCAAGCAGTTTTTTTTATAATACCAAGTGACGGGAGAAGTCGTGCGCATCGGGCGCAGGTAAGCTACACGCCTGTTCATAACAGTTGCAGTGTCCTCAGAGCTTTAAATCGCAAAGATCTGAAGGGCACTGCCATTGCGCCTGTCACCCTGAGACAAAGTTGACAAGTCCCATGTGACTGTAATTTCACCAGCACCCTTACAGTAATGCTGACATTACTGCTTGGCAGCAGAAATAGGTTAGGAGGCAGTACTTATCTGGGCGAAATCTTTTTCACAAGGTGCTCTCTAAAATAAAAATATTACTTTTTTTTTATAAAATATTCAATTTTTTTACAGAAACTCAAAAATGAGCAAGATTACCACAAGGAAATAACTTCGGACCTCAAAATGCGTATCCAGAGTTTGGAAAAACAAGTTCAAACTCAAAGAGATCGATATGCAGCACTGTTGGAGGAGTCTGATAAATATATCAAAGCGAGAAGTGAACGGACGAGGCGAGTCAGCGCTGAACAACATTGGCACGAACCCGCTGTTCTACCTGTGAGTTTTTTTTTATAATGTCGTGTCGCTTACCAACAGGCGCACGATGTCTGTCTGTGGGACGCAACATGCGTAAGTGCTTTTGCTGCGTCCCACATAAGACAAACTTCGCAGATGGCGGGTTCCGAGGCGGAAAGTGCCGCGAAACTAAAACACGCGAAATATTCTGCCTTGGAGCCTGTGTACGACTTTGTACCGGTCGCGGTCGAGACGGCGGGGCCTTGGAGTTCGGAAGCTCGGGACCTATTTAAAGAGTTGGGTCGCCGACTCAGAGACAGGGGCTGCGATCACCGCTCTGGGTCGTGGTTGGTTCAGCAGGTCTCCATTGCTGTCCAGCGAGGCAATGCTGCCAGTATAATGGGAACTTTTGCCCCGGGAACGATACAGGGCGGGATTTCTTTTTAAATTAAGTATATTTAACGTGAATCTCACTTTTTTTGTATTAGATTACCTATTGACGAAGCCTTGTGCTGATCTTTAGGTTATACATTTTATTATTGTTCATAAATGCACTTTGTAAATTTGTCACTTGTTATCATAAAAAAAGTGTGACTTTCCCAACCCGCATTGGGCCAACATGGCGGACTATGGCCTAAACCCTCGCCTGAGAGGAGACCCGTGCTCAGCAGCGGGATGTATAAACGAGTTGATAACGACTAGAGTTTAATCAATGTGAAATAAAGATAATGTTTGAATCTGAATTTCATATGAGTCATCAAACGAAGTAATATATTTATAATCCATTGTCAATAGGACGTGACGACTATGCCGCATATGTTGCACTATGCTCACGAGTTGGCTAGAAAGGACCTCGACATCTCGCAACTCAGGAAGGAGAAGCACATACTCGAGGGACAGTTCAGGTACCTTATATTGTACATAGTTTCTCAATGTGGTCCCTACCGTCCCCCAGTGCCCGCTGAAGGTTCTAGGGGTACGGTAAGGACTCTGAAGCAATTGGAGGGCGTTGATGCTGTCCAGGGGGTGTACCGCATTTGAAAAAAAAAAACTGAATTATCTATATAAACTGGTTACCTATCAGTAGTCTGAATGACATTTTCCAGAAATAACGTTTGGTCGAAATTTCATTACATCGAAGGTAATTTTGAGAGGAAAATGTTTTTTCTTTTAAACCTAACTTCACCTAACCTAACCGAACCTAATCGTGTTTTTGCGATAAACATTCAATATATCCTGAAAGAACAACTGTTTCGTTATGATTCGGTTTTCGGTGTAATGAAAATTCGAACAAACGTTATTTCGGACAAAAAAGTTTCGACTTTGTGATAGGTTATCACATAAACTACACTATATTGTATAATATATGTTTTATTTGGGATTTTTTTGTGTTAATTTAATTTAAAAAATAACGTGTGTTCAATTATTTTTTGTGGTGGCGGGCAGCCAAAAATTTGGGAACCTATATTTAGTACATTGTTCTACTTTGAACTGTGGTAGCCCAGTGTGAAAACGGTAGCTTCTCAGCTGACGGTTCTCATCGGCATATATGTACTAATCATTCGTTTGTACTAATTCGTGATATGTGGGATGACTATCTTTAAATTATTGTTTTTTTGTATAATTCCAGGGATTGTCAGCGTGAAGGAACTATTGAAAAAGAACGGTTCAAAGAAGTAATAAGAACATTAAAAGAGGAGATAGACAGGTAATAAAGTTTTAAATTTAAAATGTTGCCATTAGTAAATTCATCTCACATACTTCATTTCCTATTTTCTACACTTTTGTATATCGCCGCTTAACAAACGACACCGCAGAAGTCGAAAATTGGTGGTTCTTACTTTTTGTCAAATACACATACAATTATTTGTTACTGGCTGGTGCCCGCGACTTCGTCTGCGTAGAATACTTTGAGGGGGAGTAAAAAACGGTGAAACCTTTTTTCTTATAAAAGGCATAAATATGAATTTTAATTTCTCTTACTTGGGAAGTGATTGGTTATCCATACAAACTTTCATTCCCTATTACACCCCCTTGAAGATTTATTTTTTACAAAAAGTAGCCTATATCCTTCTCCTAAGCCTCATTTAGCTCTAAACTAAAATTCATCACAACTGGTCCAGCAGTTTAGTCGTGAAAATGTAACACACGGACTACTTTCAACAGATTACTTTCGCATTTATAATATTAGTTTGAATTATAACAAACTATTGGTATGAATTATAATTCGATGTCTTAAATATAAACAAAGAAATGTCATTGTCAAGGTGTAAATACAGGTGTGCTAAACCTTCTGTTTTTAACGATATTGGAAAAGGCGGAAGTTCTCATTTTTAAAGGTCTTCAAAAATGGAGGAGGTTCTCAATTCGTCCGTTTTTTTTTTTGTATTTATGTTACGTGATAACTCATTTTTGAACCGATTTTGATGATTCTTTTTTGTTGAAAAGAGGTTACTCCAGTATTGGTCCCATTTAAATTTTAAGAAAATATTCCACTTCTAAGTGTGGCAAACTATATGAATCCGGTTTCCACGAACGTTTGAGGTCGGTTTTTTATTACAATTTTAATTATTTATTACAAAATATTAACAATGAACAAAAGCTTTAACAACAATGCACAATAAGTGTTTTTGATCCCGATCGTGTTACTAGTATCATAAAATTATATACAACCTTAAACATAGTATTTAATTATAATTATTGTAATATATGAAATTGATTTAAAATATACATAGTGAATTGTTCCAAGTCTTACCATTACTTTACCATTACATCTTCAACAGTTCTATATGTAAATTATTTATCGTGAGATTAATTATTTATCGTCAGATTAACATTACCATTTAAAATGTTTTTTTCGAGTTCTTAGGTTCATGGGACCTGTAAAGGGCCCGAAACGTCGGTTTGTTTGAAAGAACTAATATATGCGATTTAAATCCGGAAAAATAGTTTCATTTCCAATGTGTTTTTGTGCTAAGTTATTTTCCTTGTTAACATTTTGGACATGTAATTATCATTAATACTATAGTTTTATTTTTATTTTATTTTATTTTTTTTGTAGTGGAGTAATTTTATAAAAAATAAATGCACATCACGGTTGTAAAACATGATATTGACTAAAATCAATATTGCAATCTGTTTACTCTGGATTTGAAATAAATTCTTTTTAACCGACTTAAAAAAGGGGGAGGTTCTCAATTCGATTGCTTTTTGTGTGTGTGTATGTATGCTACGTGATTGCTCCGGCATTTGTAAACCGAATTTGATGATTCTTTTTTTGTTGGAAAGAGGTTACCTCAATATTGGTCCCATTTAAATTAGAAGAAAATATTCCACCTCCAAGGGTGGCCAAGATTTTTTTTTTATAAAAAAGTTATAATTATTATAGTTGTTTACAATTTCTTTTTCCAGGTTGAGAAGAATCCAGTCCCGCGAAGGTGCAAATTTGGAGTACTTAAAAAACGTAGTGATAGCGTATCTCATGTCCAACGTATACGACTACGACGGACGTAGACATATGCTCAACGCCATCGCCGCCGTTCTGCACTTTACACCGAACGAAATTACTCAGGTTATGTCTAATGTATAGAAGTAACTATGAGGTACATATGATTGAAATATATTTGAGGTATATGTTTATGCTGGAAGAGACCAGGGCTCAGCGTTTGGAGTATTTTAAAACGTTTTATCGATAAAAGATATAGGTGTAGAGGCCTATTAAAAGAGGCTTATTTTGTGTAAGGTTTTGACAACGTAACAAAGGACCAAATGTATGGACCTAACTTTTTTACGACAGTTTCAAGCGTCGATATCGTTTGGTCAATCTGTAGATGAGACGTAAAGAACCTTTAAGAGACTAATTCAAAATTTTCCCGTACTAATATGGTTTATTTTGCTTGGGTCGAGCGACAGGGACACTGGCTGTATTTCAGAATTCACTTTTTTATAAAGGAAATTAAAGCCATTTGTAAAATTTCGAGATAAGTTTGTGTTTTTTTCTATCGTGACAGTTTGTAGGAATCATGTTTTCACACCCTATACTAATCAGTGTATATCGAGTATGAACTGGCAATCGTACTATCTCAGTTTTGACAACTTTACAACGAAGAAAGAAACTGTTTGCGTCATTTATATAGCATCTGGTTTATTAATTAAAAATACGTAGTTTTTAAATATTTTTATTACACATGTATATATACATGCTCTATAAATCGCGCACATTCATGCACTGTACATCCCCTAACCCATTATACACACTTTTCACTCAAAATTTTTACATATAATCACTTTCTTATCACACTTACTAACTTTTCTGTTGAAACTAATTTGTCACAGTACCTTTTCTCAAAATAACAAATAAATAGTGTATTTTCAAATCATCACTCCAATTTACCCTTAACGTCTTAGTAATTTCAAAAACATCACAATATTGTACCATTGAGATCCAGTGGTGGATACCTGGTGACCTATAATACAGGTCCAACCTAGTTTAGGCACCAGTCTTCCACCTCACAATTTTCACTGTATGATGTTCTTTACGATAAATACCCTGTAATTTGTATTGTTAAGGTGGAAAGAACAATAAATAAATTATATAAATTATTATTATTATTATAAATGACGCAAACAATTTTTTTCTTCACCCGTGAAGCACAAATTAGAAACATCTGTAAAGTTGTCAAAATTGAGATAGTACCGGTTGCCAGTTCACAGTCGATATCCTCAATTTGTTCCTAAATGATTGATTCAACAGTTGTACTGTTATGCGGGATCATCAAGTATATAACCAGAAATAGAGACGAAATAAGGGCCCTATATTCCTGGTAACACAATAGCGATACAGTTCTTATAAATATGAACTCTCGTTTGTACTGAATTATAGACAGGCCAACTGCTGACCTGTGTCTACGTCTCCGTATATTCCAAAAAATATTCTGTATTTATTGTAATAAAGATAATATCTCTCTCTAACAATGCCGTGCTGTTCTATTCGGTGGTGTGGGAAAAACAGCAAAACATCTAATTACAAAACAAACGGAATCATATTTCATCGGTAATTAAATATGTCATTTTGCAATTTTCGTCCATTATAGCAAAGCTCAAGTTAAGTGGTCGTTTTGAAGTGAAACAGTTGACGACACCCATTGACGACACCCGTCAATTGTTTCGAACTCGGGCTAGCCAATCGGAGCGCAGTTGTCACCGTAATGACTTGGCAGAATAGTTTTCAAACAAATTAAATGACATTTCGTCTCTATTTCTGGTTATATACTCGATGTGCGGAATCAACCAAAGCCATTTGGGGTCCATATTGCGGAATTTAGGTGTTTTCACAACATTGCGTTAGATTGCAAAAATCTCGTAATGGTAAAAGACATTAAGTCCTATCATCATCTCAGCCTGTTAACACCCACTGCTGGGTATAGACCTCCTTTTTTGCAAGTCAGCTAATCGGTTCAGTGCGAGTCCATCCAGTCTTCCGGCCACACCGACGATATCGTCCAACTTGCTTACCGCCTTGGTCCGTCACTCGTCGTCACTAGCACGTGTCCTACCCATCTCCATTATAGGCTCGCGATCCGCATACCAACATTTGCAACTTTTGTGCGCTGTGGTACCGTCCTTTGCTTTTCATTTAACATATTTTATTGGACTTTCTCTTTAAGACCCCCATTCTCTTTAAAACACTCTGTAGTGAAAAAGGTTCTTAATTTCTCACACACACTATACAGGATATAAAATAAATACCTTAAGAATACATGCGTAAGGTAAAATTTACGTTATCCCATGTATGTATACCTAAAAAACTTGTCAATGTAGCGTTAAACCCTAGAACAAGGTATTACCATAAACAAACCTATTAACGACATATCCAATGTCCACAGACTGTGCGAGAAAGAAAAGTCCTCAACACTGTAGAAGCTCTTCTTGAATTTACAACTAATGTAGGACCTCAGGTTATATAACACCTATTACTAATATTTTTTTAGACTTTGATCTTATGTTATAGTACAGACTAATAATATCAAGCTATGGTACAGAAAAGTCGGAAAGAGGCTATATGATCCGATTCCCAATAGCTTGCCTTATGAAATTTGTTGATCTAGGCATAATAATTGGTCAATAAACAAACATACAACTTCAAGACGTGACAAATGGTCAAATATCTATTTTAAATAGTATAAAATAGAGCACAAAATTATCTTTTAAAAAACTGTTAAAATTAGTTAACGTGTTAATTATCGGAAGTTAACTTAACGATGCATAGCTGAATATCGTTAAACCATTTCAATATTCAAAACTGGGTTATGGTTTCTTTTATGATATCTCAAAAAAATATTTCGTCACTTTGCAGCGTTTTAGTTGGTAGACGGCAGAAGAGCTGCCACAACCTCTACGTGGTGTAGCACCACGCCAACAATGTTATCGCTTCGTTATCGCTTGCCAAAACAAGGTTTCCATGCAGTTTACCTTGATCGTTAAAAAGAGGCCACTCTACGTGAAACAGAACTTCTTTGTTAAAATACGCAATTCAATTAAAGTTACTCAATGACTAACGTGACTATATGTCCCGCTTTTAAATTCCGTGTCTCGCTGTCCCCAAAATGCTATAAATGCTTTGACAAAGCAAGACACACGTGACAATAAATTTTAAAAAAAGCGCGAAAGTGAAAACGTGTAAAGCCAGCACGCCAGAGTACACAAGATTAGTTCTTTCTTAAAATGTTTGATCGTTACACATTTATAGTTTAGCAATAAATTCTCGCAGCATCCTGAGTAAAAAACAGACTTCGTTTGCAAAGGCCAGGGGTTTGAAATAGAAATAGAAACCATTTATTATATAACTGTCTCCGTGGCCGAACGGTTACCATACCGGACTGCCACGCAGAGGTCCCCGGGTTCGATTCCCGGGCCGGGAGAAATATTTGTATGGCCTACATTTATTTCTCTCGTGAGTTTGGGTGTAATTTGTGGTTGTCTATGTGTGTGTCCAT